GACTAGTCAAAAATATCGCTGCAATGCGGAAGATTTTTAGAAAAATATTTTGAAACCCGAAGTATTTTCTGTTGGTTTGTACAGTTATTATTGAACTTCAAAGCATAAAGCCTGACATAATTTGAATGGATTTTGACTGAGTTATGAATGCTTTAATTTTACTCAGAAATAGGCAAAAATGGGTTGTTTCGCGTCATATAGGTTTTCACTAGGTTTCTGGAACTTATTTGAAAAATAAATGTCTCCACGAGATTCAGGGTGGTTGATTACCTATGTTTCCATTCGTTTTTGGAATTACCTCACCTAAAGAAATAGACTCTGAGACTCTCAGGAACCTCGATGCCACACCTGAACCACGAAGAATTAAGAGTTCGCTTGATTCCCATTTCGGAAAGAACACTTTGGACTGTATACCTATGGAAAAAAACTGATAGATTGCTATCTCAATATCCGGAGATCCAACTGGTTTTCTAAAGACCTGCTAGAAAGCCGATCTTTCGAATGTTTTTGGAAAAAGATTTTTGATAAGAAAACATAGCCAGAACCATTTTCTTTCGATTACTGAAAGCTGCAAATCTCCATCTTTCATCGTCTTTGAGTTATTCAAAAAGCGCTAATTAGCGTGTCTCGCGTAGAAAGAGTTAGCGTTTTTTTCAAAATCGATTTTTGTGCTAGTGGTCAAACGTCGCGCAATTTTTTTTTCGAATATGGCTCATCATAGAGAGCTGCACTTTTTTTAATTTATTGGGGCACTCGATACCCCTTCGGATGAGAGGAAGGAATCTTTTAATTAGGCTCTTCTGTAGAAAACCGCGTCTGTCTGGAATACTGATGATATTTTAAGGTTTTAGAGGTTTCGACGCTCCCCAAAATTAAAGAAAGCAAGAAAAAAAAATCCCTTCCCCTCATCCGAAGGGGTAAACAGTTCTCCTTCGTATAAAACAACCCAGGGTCCTGTACCTTGAAGTATAGTGAAAAAGAATTAGTGCAGGCAGATGGCCCATTTTGCGCCTTGGTCTCTACAAAACTCCTGAATGCTCAGGTCTGACGGCGAAAAGCAAATTTCACAACTTTACTTCAATGTACCCAACGTTTGTGGAAAATTTCGTGGCAATTCCATGCACTGTATCGAAAATACAGGGAGGGCGCCCTTAACGCTGATTCGAAATACGATGCTGCTGTTGCGAAACTATGGTTTGTATTGTCATATCAAAGACGACAGTCTACTTATCAAAGAAAAGATAAAGTCAATCATCTTTTGCACGTGGCAGTCCGATACTGCTTAGTTTTACAACTGTCATCTAGTACAACTATTTCTTCTGTGTTCTTAGACAAATGATTTGTCGTTGCAAGAACATAAACCGTTGATGCAAACCATATGGTTAAAAGCATTCGAAAATCTACGTATACCAAAATCCGAACAATTTTCACCAACAATCGATACACCAGAATTTGGTTTTGAACTACAATGTCCAAATTCAGTTAAAGACATCCAAATAATCGAATGTATGAACGAAGAACTGAATAAAAATAGTCAATGTTTAAATGATGAGGATTTTGCTCAAAATCTTGCGTTAAGTCACTTAAAAGACAAATGGTGGATATGTAATGAGAAAATTTCTCATGAACTATTTCAATCAGACTATGTATCAAAAGCATATTATTTTGATCAAGTGATTTTATGTGCACGACAATATCATTTATTACGACTTTCAAACAAGTTTTTAATACAATTTATGAGTTGTGGTATTAATGAAGAACAGGCATTAGATAATTTAAAATATTTTCTGTTACATTCTCGAAAAATAATTGATTATTTAACAATCTTTGATATAGCATTACGTTGTTTTCCTAATGCAGACGAGCAATTCTTACAAATTACAGTTGGTTGTGCAAATGGAATTAATGCTAAGCAATACACGACTTCAATGTGTACCAATTATTATCGTTTGATTTCATCTTCAGGTCAAATACGTCAATTACCACCGAAGACGGATGAACTATCAAAAAGTGTATCAATGGTTCACAATAATATTTCATTTTTTGTTAATTCAATTATGAATTTAATTGAATTTATGTGTAATGATAATGCAAAAACATTCGTACGATCAAATACAATGTTAACTCTTTATTCTAGTATTGAACAAGCAATAGCTAAAACAAATTTAAACATAACAAATTTTAATAAACTACATCCCATAATCAGCATTATTAACTACTTAAGATTTGTACATTCAAACAATGAAGAGCATGTAATAATTGAATTTGAAGAATTTATCATATGGTATCATCGACAACAAGAAGATATTCTTCATTCTTTAACAACTATTAATAATGTCATTGAATATTTTAAACAATCATCCAATAATAAACAACATAATACAGAAAACTGTATGATAAAATTAAAAACTGAACTGTATCAACAACTACTAGAAGCTAAACCAGATCTGTTTGAACCAATTCTTTCTAAAATACAAACAGATATGAATGATTTATGGCGATCATCATCAAAAATATTTAACGTAATTCAACATCAAACGAATTTATTCGATATATGTGAATATTTTTTTGATAAATCGATCGATAAACCGGAACATGATATTTCACATCTGTTTAATGATAAAATAAGACAATTTGAGAAATATCTTTATCATTATGACAGAGAGAATGTATTAAAACAAATATTATGTGATCGAATGTTTAATTATTTAACACAAAAATACAAAAAAGATAAATATTCAATAATATTAACTGAAAAATGTGATAGATTTATTCAGAATATAGATCATCTTAACTTTATTTTATCACGTTTGAACGAATCTACTATAATTGAATATCTACTTTTAATTGTATTTACAAAATTCTATGCACATATTTATTCACATGAATTATATTATGAAAAAGAGAATGAAAAACTGTCCACTATTAATAACTTGTTTAATACTGAAGAACAAATGATAAGTTCAACGATAAAATTATATGTTAAGAAGCAATTAAATTATATTATGGAAAAAGATGGTTCGAAAAACGAAGATAATATTTAATCATTATTTGATAAATTTAACTCACGTATAATAGAGTGGATTAATAATAGTAAACGGGATTGTAATAGAAATTATTCCTACTTACCCTTGCCGTCAATAGAATATATGAACGAGTTTAAAAATGTGAAAAATATATTAGATAAGTGTGATACTGGATCAGTAGTTAATCTATTTAAAGAATGTAAAGAGAATTATTCATTGAGACTATCCGTCTATATCTGGTTCATTCATTATTTGACAATGGATAAAACAAAATTTCTGCCTATGCCTTGTCCACATATCTCTTTCTAACAACGTACGGTTGAAACACTACTTAGTTTTCTTAATAGTTTTATTTCATCGATTACTTATGCGAAAACTACAAGATGACAACGAGTTAAGAAACTAGTGCTAGAATAGACTTTCCTTACATGACTCCCAAACTCATCAATTGTCTCCTGCTGTTTCTTTCACCGACAGTGATCAATGGAAGAATATGTTTTTTTTCTGAGTCCCCCTCCACCCGCTCCCTCAGTAATGGAGATTTTTAGTCCAAAAATCGGTTTTGAGATAAGCACATGGGAAGATAGCCTGAAGTGTCTACTTTCAGAATCTGTATCGCTTTCTTTTTTTAGTTTTATAGGAGCCCCGAAAACCTGGTCTTCAAATAACAGCTTTTTCCAGGATACTTATGCAATTAAATCTTTCTTTGAACACACAGATTTGTAGAGCAAGGTTTTCTGATCAAAATAAGATCTCGTACAACTTTGTGTGATCCTGCATCAAAACGTTACAAGTATTTTCCTACCAGTTCTAAAACTGAGCATTTTAAACAACGTTTTCTCTACATGGTAGTTATACCTGAAGTGTTTCTCAAGCTTTTTATAGTGGTTTGTCGTAGAGAGATCATTCTTTTTTTGTTTAATAGAGGAAAGGAACCTGCATGGACTGCACGGCGCCGATTTTTGAATTAGTTCTTCGTTTTTTGTCAAATTGAGAATTTTTCGAATTTTGGAGGTTATTGGTTGCCTGGCAGTAACCTACGTCCTGATCTGGATATAGAAAAACATTAATAGCCCGATCGGGATATAAAACACAAAATCTCGTCGTAAAAACGATTAAGGG